TTTTTTATTTGAATATTTTTAGGAAGGATGGAGACGTTTTTATTTTGAAAGTATGAAGTCAGCATTTGGTTATGGAGCCCGACTGTTTTAAACGGTTATAAACACAATCATTTATAGTTCAATTGTTTTTTTTGCAACGTTCTATTCTTTGTGTTGTCTATCCGTTTGAAATAAACTCTTCCTATATTAATTAATATTAAAAATCGATCATAGATTGCGAGAATGATTAAATTACTCAAGATTGTTCTAGAATGTTCTCCGACGAAAGAATTGAATAGAATACATCAATTCGAGATGTCACTAATGTGTTGACGTAATAATAAATAATTTAAATGAAAAGATTGAAAGTATGATATACTTTGAGACAGAGATGGGCAACTCCGGGGGTACACCACTCCAACTCCACTCCAATTTTCTAAAATTCAACTCCAACTCCATTCAACTCCACTCCAATTTTCTAAAAATTCACTTCAACTCCATCTAACTCCAACTCCGGTTCAACTCCAACTCCACATAAATTTACCTAACTCCACTCCAACTCCACCTAAATTTACCCAACTCCACTCCAGTTTAACTCCAACTCCATTCAACTCCACTCCAATTTTCTAAAAATAAACTCCAACTCCAACTCCAACTCTTTCTAACTCCACTCCGATGTAATAGGTAGATTTTTTATCAATACGATTGTAAAAAAATACATATTTATCAGGAAACATTGTTATTTGACACCAATAAGTAAAAACATGATTATCAATTTATGTTTTATCTATAAAACTTTGACATCTTTATTTCAACAAATTAAGTCAACAGGAGTTAAATCGGAGTTGGAAAAAATCACGAAAACCAACTCCACCCATTTTTGCAAAACTCAACTCCAACTCCGCTCCAACTCCACCCAGTTTTTCAAAATTCTGCTCCAACTCCACTCCAACTCCACCCATTTTTTTCAAAATTCTGCTCCAACTCCGCTCCAACTCCACTTCAAACAGACATCAACTCCACTCCAACTCCACTCAGTTTTTCAAAGTTTTGATCTAACTCCACTCCAACTCCAAGGAGTTAAATTGTCAACTCCGAGTTGGAGTTGCCCATCTCTGAAATGGCTGTACAATATAGATTAAAACAACAGATAATATTTCGAAATTATTCATCGTTCTCTTTCTTTCTCTTATTTTTTTCGTCTGCTTTTTGTTGGATTATTCCAATTAAAACTGATAAGAATGAAGAAAATTCTTTTTGCCACGTATATGTATTGAATGGAAAAATCCAACGAGAAAAAAACAAAGGTGAATAATTTCGAAATTATCATATGTTGTTTTAATTAATTATATTCAATTAAAACGAATAAAAGAACAGATATTTACTGAATATAATTTATACAACCTTTCTCAAGCATAATGAAAAGTTTTATTGATCTGTTAAAATAATTTAGCGCATATTAATAATAAGAATATGCCTTTACATCGTTTAAATACTCAACAAAAAAAATTCGATCGAACATTTCTTTCCTCACTAAATTTTGATGAATCTGGTATTGAAATTAATCGTTTAACTTTAATATTTCATAAACTATGTAATAATAATAATAATCAATTAACCCGTGAATATTTTCGTGATTTTCTTTCGACTATATTTGATCTTAATGATGAAACAATTGTTGAACGTTTATTTATTTTAATTGGACAAGGTGAAAAGGTTTTGTCATTAAAACAATTTTTATCCGCTATTAATTTATTATTATGTGCATCATATGATGAACAAATAAAATTTATTTTTCGTGTATATGATGTTAGTGCAGATGGTAATTTACAACGTGAAGAATTATTTACATTTTTACGTAAAGATTTACCAATAATCAATGAAAAAGAAGATGCTGATATGATTTTACATGAATTTATAACATTAATATTTAAAAAATTTGATAAAGATCATGATGGTGTTATTAGTTTCGATGATTATAATCGAACATGTCAAGAAAATCCAACATTAATACAATGTTTTGGTCAAGTTTTACCTCGTGTATTTCGAAAACATATAGTTAAATCAATGCTTAATGGAAATCTATCAATTCTTTCGAAAAAAGAAAAATATTTTAAATAGAAAAAAATTAATATCATATTTGTTGTCTTCTTAGCAACTTTATTAAGAAAATAAATAAAAACAGTTACAAATAATTAATGCGTCGACCGCAAAGGCAAAAAAAATCATCGGTTAGTACTGTTGGTTAGTTGAAATCGCGCAGTGGCTAGTCTTTATATCAGGATTAGTAGAGATTAAATGTGTAACAACAAAGAAAAAGAAAAAACAGATCATTGCAAAGTCGCGAGAAAGACTAGAAAACACAGAAAACAAGAAGAATAAATACGTTTTTATAATTTGTTTTAAATGCATCACCTAAAAAATTCCTATTTTAGAATACATAGGAATTTTTACGAACCGGTGGCATTGAATCATCTTCACTTGAACTTGAATGTTGTTGAGCACATGTTGATGATCCACATGCTGAATTAAATAAACCTGAAAAATTATTATTGTTATCCACAAATGGTGGTGTTGGAGATGCTATACTATTTATAAGTCGTTCAAGACTAGAATTCATTGTTATTGGTTGTTGTTGTTGTTGTTGAGTCGGTTGTTCATCCAAAAAAGCATAATCTGCTGGATTTAAATCAGTATAAGCTGAATTTGTTAATAATACAGGCGTTGGTTGAAGAAAATTACTAAATTCTTCGTTAGTTTGCATAGATTGTAATTGATGCGAAGGAAGTAATGGTTGTAATACTGATGTTGTTTCCATAATAGATGTAATAACAGCTGTATCATGAAAAATTATAGATGGTTGTTGTGGTGATGGTGTTGGATGCATTTGTTGTAATGAACAATTCGTATGTTGTGAAAGACGTAACTCAAGTAATTCTTTTTGTTTTTGTAAATGTACAATTCTTTGTTGAAGATGTGTATTATGACGCATGTGATTATTGTAGTCTGTTTCCAAAGACATTAAAACACTTTCACGTTTTTCACGACATTTTGTAGCCGCTGTGCGATTACGTTCACGTCGCATAAGTCGTTTTTGTTCTTCCTCACCACTTAATGGTTCATATTTTGAACGGCGACCTGTGTATAATGTTTTCGATGGTTGTTTACGAGGATTAACAGTAATTGGGCCATATCTAATAATTTATTATACGCTATTATAATTAATTTATTAGAAATAAAACCTTTTACCTGACACGCCCCGATGGTAGAACTTGTATGTTTGTTTCTAAATTATTTTGCGTAAAATTCATATTATCTACCAGTTCTTTTTCCTTTTTTTGTCTTTTAGTTGATTTTAAATCATTTGTTGTTTTTATAGAACCTACTACCGATGAAGTAGTTGTTGATGAAACTACTTCGGGTAAATCTGGTTCTAATAAATATTTTCTGACAGAATCAACACTGTCGAATTTTGAAGGATACGGGTGCATTGATGACATTGTCTTGTAATCAATAATTAAATTTATCAGCTTTTGAAGAAACTAAAAGAGAAATAGAAGAGAATTACATCATCACCTGAAGCAATTGGTAAACAGTAGAGAAAAAAAAACATTTATCGGAATGAAAATGCATCTCATAGAAACGTAACAGAACGAAAAAGAAAAACTCATCGATTCCTCCTACGCTTCTACCATAAATGTTAATAAGTTGACGAAGTATATATAAGTAGGAGGTAAAGTGAATACATTTGTTAGTAATAGGCAAAATATTTGAAAAATTCGTGTTTGTATTAATTATCATAGTGTAAAAACAAGACTATTCTTGTTGATCTTTTTTTATTAGTCGGTTTTTCTCAATGTAAAATATCCAATAGTTACTATCTAACTGTATTCTATGGATACAAGTTTATTCATCACTATATATATATATATTCATTTGATTGTATCATATATATGTAAATTTAATTCAGACTATGGCATATGATAGAGAGAGAGAGAGAGAAAAAATTGTTTTGCTTGACAACATTCATGACGTCATTATGATAAAGAGAAATTAACTATCGCTGACAACTTACCAGATGAAGTTCGGTAATAAAAGAAACAGAACAAAACAAGTGTGCTTGTTAAATGTTGACTTGAAAAGATGATAATGTAAAATATTGTCGAATCGAGTAATAATAAATAAATATAATAAAAAAGGAAAAAGACTGTGCTTCTTAGATATAATGCTCGGCGAAGAAAAAAAAATATGGATATATATATATATATATATGTATAGGATGATGAGAGTAAATTATAGTTTTTTTGTCTTTCTTTCTTTCTCTCTATTCATCGCGTGTTTTTTCTCTATTCGTTTGTATTCGCAGACGAAGAAAAAGAAGAAAAAAAAAGAGAGCGAGGACAGGAAGCGCTTTTCTTGTTTAATGTACAACAAAAAAAAAACCAAGGTTGTTGGCGTTTTACCTTAGCATAATTTTTTTTGTTAGAATATATGACGTAAGAATAATATGGAATTTTTATTTTACATACACTGATAAAAATTTTATTGTTTACGTGAAAGATTAAAATATAAATTGCCATATATAAGATAGACTATACTGAGACAAAAAAGAAAAATATCACATTAAAAGATAAACACACAATGAATAGTTATATATATAGATATAAATCTTGGAAATATTATTTTTAATGTTCGAAAATAATGATGAAATTTCTTATTTCTTATCATATGTTCCTTGTCCTTTATAATTTCCAACATAGCCAGTGTTTTTCGCTTCATCAGCCCGACCTTCTTTCCCTTTTCCATGACCTTCGCTATCAAAACGTTCTTTGTGTGAACCTGTATAATGACTAGTATCAGTCATACGACCGGTTATATTCTTATTTGCTGTAGTCTACAAAGTACAAATAAATTAAATAGATATACTATATTGATAAAAAAATCCTACCGTAACATTAGCTAAACTTGGACCACCTGTCGAACTAATTTGTGAAATAATTTGATCAGATGATGTCTTTTTTGAGTCAGCTACTTGATCAATAAGTTGTTTGAAACCTTGTAATTCAAATGTTTTACTAAAACAATTTGAATATATATTGACATAAAAATAAATAGAAAAAACAATTTTCATTCATATGTATACTTACACGCCTTTTGCATAAGTTCCACCAGTTGTAAGCTTGCCAAGTACACGAGCAATATCATTATCAAGTAATTGTGTTGTATACTTACTATCAACAACACCACCATCTTTCATCATTTTTTGTATATTTTTTGATTCAATACGAAGATCTTTTTCTTTAACTTGTGCTTCAGTTTTACCGAATTTTGAATATTTATCAAAAGCTTCTTTTAGATCGCCATTACCACCTGATGCCATTTTGTATACGTTAAGGTAGTTTTTATTTTTAAGAAAATAAATTATATCTTAAATAAGAAAGGAAAATAAAAAAAAGGCGCTATATTGTTCGCTCGATCGTATATAAATTATTTTTATGACAAGAAATCTTACAAATGTCGTCGATTATTTAACTATGCCTTCGTTTCAAAAAGAATAGTAAGGGTAACGTTGTCTGCGCGATTGTAGAAGAGAGAAAAAAGAAAATGTGCGTACTTACATGATCAGCTTATTTTTCAAGTATTAAAAGAAAAGAAGTTTTCACTCTTTTTCTTTTCAATCTTTAAAAAAAATATTTATTTCGATGTGATATCAAGACTAGACAATGTGTGAAAGTCAACAACCTTCATCGGAGAAAAGAAGTCATATCTTTATTTCTTCCTTCTTATAAGACATTTTTTTCACAATGAAAATAAAGCTATCAAAAATAAAATACTTTTCTTTTATATTTCTCTTTTTACTGAAAAAAAGTCTATTTCTTTTTTCAGAATTCATAAATATCCTTGAAAAGATTTATTAACAGGCAATCATTATAGATTAAAAACATATTTACATTGATATACAAAAAAAAGAATTAGAAAATTTATTTATAGTTACTAAAATATAAATTAATTTCATATTAAACTATACATAATTTCAAAAGAATGCTTATTACAAATAAATAAACATGTCAAGTACATGACGCGAATAAATCATGCTTCTTAAAATGAATACTAAAAAATGATTTCAATTCATGACATACGTTAAAATAATAATGCTCCACCTTAATTTACACAAATGTCGAAAAAAGAACACATACCGAAAATGACGTTTTTCAGTAAACATTGACTTAAAAGTACATACATGTTTTGTGTTAAAATTCTATTGTTGGCAAGTCAAACTCGTGTAGATATATTAAATTTCTGCGAGAGTCTTTTTCAAAATATATGTATGTGCATTCATTTAAATTTAGACTTATTAGTAAAAATATAGTAATCTAAAAATAATCGTAATTCAACATTGTATTAATCCTCTTATTGAACAAAAGTATAAAGAAACTGAAATATTTAGAGTAGTTTATTATTTGAAGTTACTAAACAAAAACCAATTATATTCCATAGATTTTCTTTCTCTTCTATTTAATAAATACTCTTTTATAAACTGTAATATTGACTGAAGTTTTCTTGTTGGCCCATGTAAAGTCAGTCATTCCCAATGCTATATGACGCAATCTATCGTATCGATTCTTGCCGCATAGGTAACAATGACGGGTGTTATTTAAAGAGTAATCAAATCTTTTAGTTAATTAACCTATTGTACTTGGAATTTTATCGTCTATACGTTTTTTCCTACAATAAATATGACAAAAATGACATTCGTTTAATGACGCATTGAAAATCAGGTTTTTTTTTGTTTTGACGTCATAGCATATGTTTATCAAAGGAGAGGAAAGTCATTTTCGTTTATTTCCTCATATATACGTCAAATGAAATATTTGATTGATGATGAGAAAGAGAAAAATAAAACATAACATCATCAGATAATAAATATAAAAAAATTATTATGATAAAATGTTATAGATTCATAACTCAAGTTTAAATAAATGATAATGCATATACAAGAAAAGTCATGACAAATTGTATTAAAACATATCATGCTTAGTAACTATTACCAAGCAAATATCGTTCTCATTTTGATAGAATAAAGTTATCTTATAAATATACTTCTATTGGGAAGATAATCAAATGTGAATATAGATGATCAGCTTTTCGTTATAATTTAATATCAGATAGAGTAAATTAAATAATTAAAAATTGAAATGATTCATGCTATGCTAACGATCTATGAATCCATATGCTGCGTTTTTAGTACATTAAATTTTTATTCAGTATTTATTAACAAACTGATCATTTGAAATTTAATACATTAGCGTATATAGGACTGAAATTAATATTTCAATTTATATCCTAACAACAATAAAACTATCCAGCTTATGAAAAGAGCGCTATTTTAAGTTATTTTCCATGATTCATTTAATTTTTGTCTATACTATAAACCAAAACCCATTTATCAAGATAAAGTTCATCTAGTAAATTTTCAACATTTATTTTTCTTTGTATTTGAGCATTTTTATAAATAAAACATCCCTAGAGAAGAAAATCGTATGATCGATTAGAAAACAAAACTATTTAATCATAAGATACTATCCATTATCTATGATGGCAGAATAAAACAGTAAAAATATTGATATTATAATCTGAATTCTATTCAATATTTTGTTGTATTGATAAAAATTAATTTTTATAATCCTATGAAACCTTTGGCGACACCTTTGATTTGTATGAATGGTAAAAATAAAATGTCCAATTAAACGTAAATAAATAAATAAATAAATAGATTCGTTCGTAGAAATACATTAACTGTTTCATTTAGATTTCAAGGTTGTATCTCTGAACTTTTCTTCTAGGTACAGTTTGTTTTATTTCATACGCAATTATTACTATAGAGAATTCGTAGAAAAATCTATTTGAAAGTAGTGATTCGGCATATGAAATCTTTATTAATCCATTTACAAATAACTAAACATCGAAAAACAAAAATATGTTTTTTTATATTTTGCAGGTAAAAACTATTCCATTTACGACATGTTTATCGACATAGAAGAATTTTTTCTATTTGACATATGGATTAATAAAGGATAAAATGAAGTTGAGATATTTGATAACAGATTTCAAAAAAAAATATGGCATGGTACATGTCAAGTTAGATAAAGAGTAAGAGAATTATTAGTTATAAATATGATTTATTATCATTTCTACTGTCTGAACCATCAAATCCAATCTTAGAAATGCTTTGAGAAATATATTCCACTTGATATTAATGAAAATCTAAGTAAATATTTAATCATTTAATCTATGATGTACGGAAGTCATATGACGTAATTTGTTAAAAACAAATAATAATATTCAATTGTATTCCTTCAGGAGAACATTTAATGTTTATATCCGTTATAATACAAAGATACCCAGAGAATGCAATGTTAATAAAGTAATTTTAAATAGTTTGACTTTTTTTGTTGCTAGTCAAAGCAAATATAATATTCTACTAATAAATTAAAACTTAATTAAATTTATAAATATTTTATTTGGAAAGTTTCTTTATATTTTTATTGTTTCATGATTATATAGTTAAGAGAAATTCTACTTGTTGTCTCTTTTTTTCTATTTTCATTCTTTCCAACCATCTATCCACCCACTCGTTGATGCAAGTCTTTTTTTTT